CGTTCGTTTTCCGCGCCACCCATCGATTTCATCCACTACTATTGCTTCCCCCCTCCCCCTACCGCCACCCCTCATCGGAGGCCACAGAAAATGGTGTTGGGGAGAGGGGTGGGGGGTGGGGGGTGAAATGAGCCACGGGGCTTTTCCCCCACATGTGTGTACACCATACACATGCGGAAGCGAATTGGCTTGTAAAATAACAGTCCAGTTTATTTCACTCGCATAATCGGGTTTGCGTTGCGTGGGGGCTAAAATCAAGCCGGGTTTTCGAACGAGGCCCTCAATTTACCAAGGATTTTTTTTTTTCCAAACGAATAACACACACACAAACACAGAAAAGAAAGGAACATTGAGCTGAACCGAGGGGCATGGCTACGGTGCCATTTAAAGGAGAATAGGGCCAACGGGTGACTTTAAATTAATGTCTCCCCTCGCGCAAAAACACCCCACACGCATGCCCTCGCGCTCTCCCTCCCTCCTTCACACACGCACTCCCCTGTTCCCTTTCTCTCTCACTCTCCTTCCCTCTTCCTCTCTCTTGCACGCTCTCACACACACGCAGGCTCACGTGCGGTCCCGGACCCCCGTCCCCGGCGGCTGCTGGCTGATCGGGAGGTCGGCGGCGGCGGCTGTTTCGGAACTTTGAGCAATTAATAGCGTTCTCTTTGGGGCGCCGCGCCACTTCGTGCGCCCCCCCCCCCCAAACCCTTCCACTTGTGTGCATTCCTTGTCTAATCAAATACGGTGCGCTCGGCGGGTGGAAGGATAAGGAATGCACGAGTAGAGTCCCCCGTCCTGTAATTATGAGGCTCCTACGATACATGGCGCGCCCACCCACACACCGATACTATGCACACTCACACACATGCACACACCGATACACACACACACTCACGGTCTCGTGAGCCAGGCGCTGCTGGGTCGGGAATTCCACTAAATTCCGGGCGCGGCGACCTCCCACGTACGGAGGGAGGGTTGTTGCTGCTCGGGGTGCACTCCCGCCCGCCCCCGCCCAAGCCAGCCACTCCCGCCGGTGTGGAAGCACCCGCCGGCCCGGCCCCGCCGCACCGTTAAACTCGTGCGGGCGGAAGAGAGTGGCCCGCACGACCGACAACAACAACAAGATGACCACACGGGGTTAGCATAGAATAGGGTATTTTGCAGAATCGAAAACGGGAAGGGAGCAGATGTGAAGATGTGAAGAAGGGACAGAACGGAACGGAAAACAGTATGCTGCGACCTGTAATGCCGTTTGGTTTTACCTATCTCCTTAAAAAGTTGCATGTGGTTGAAAAGGAGCAGTGTTATTTTATGAATGCATGTGACGCGATCGCAATAGTCCCGTGCCATGCAGTGAAATAAGTGTACCCATCCACCTTGCTTTTGTCACTTCCTTGCTATCTTCTCCCTCCCCGTTACCGGTTCACCAAAAGTATCCCGT